TTGAAATAAGGAGAGGAGCTCAAAATGTCATATTTGAGAGGCATTTTAATTGGTGATGGAACATTCGATATGAATGCCAGTACTGTGGTTGTATACCTGGCGTGCACTTGTGTGTCGACAACCTGGTGTGGTTGCGCAATCACCCAAATTTAATTGTTTTAATGATTTTTTTTTTAATATCAAGTGAAATGGATGTAGAATCACCATTGACTTTATTTTCTATCTCCACTTGAGAACGCTTATTGGTGCTGTTGTGAGAGTTCTTGTTCTTCCTCTGTGAATCTTTACCCAACAGCCAAGAAAGTACTTATTTTATATTTTAATTAATTTCTTTTCACTCAAAAAATGACGTTTATGCATGCGTGGGGTCACTTTTATTTTGAAGGTGGCTAACGCAACTCGCTGGCGGCAGATTACCGTAATGCAGAGCACTCACAATCGGAGTGGCGGCTCACTTGACTTCAATTTTGCGAGTGGAGGCTGGCTTGACCGCAGTAAGGAGATGATGGAGGGGGAGAGAGTTCCGTCTCGAACTTCTTCATGGGGACAGGCGTTTCCTCCTCCTCCTCCTCCTCTCACAGCGCCTCACGTCGGTATTAGCGGCGGAAAGAAGTACTACAGTACTCGGAAAAAGGCGCGCCACTACAAAATCGAACTGACAGCATCTCTGTCCGAGAACATTTTTCGACATACCTGTACCCGCAAAAATGTTCGTATGTACCGTTGTTCGCAATACGAAAGTTCGTAAAGCGGGGAGCGCCTGTATATCCATTGCTTACGCGTGTGTGTGGGCAGACCGGATCAAAATGCGTAAGTCAAAAATTGATTAATGCAATAGACACATAGCTTACCTCAAGTAAAAAAAAAAAATCCAACTAATGGAGAAGGAGGTAGTATGGTTTTGTTTTGTAACGAGTGTATGGGTGCATCTTTCCACAAAATGAGAGCACACCGATCATTTATTCAAATTTAGTGTATCCAAAAAGATAAAACATAAACATAAAATAACAAAGTTTTACCACACAAAAAAAAAACAACCTGTTGAGGATTGTGTGTGCCTTTTTGTGTACCGGTACCTTCATGGATAAAGCCACTTATCATAAGAGAAATGCGAGTTTCAACGTCACAGTTTTTTTTAAATTCCAGTGATTACACAAGCAATCGAGAAAAAGTGGAAAAGAAACACAGCAATCAGAAATAATATATCTGCCATTTCCCAAAAAACAGTTGTTGTTGGGAGTTGAAAAAATATATAAATGTGTTTAGTATTTTTTATGACTACATAAGGGAATGGAAATTGTGCAGTACGGAAGAAAGAAAGTGCAGTGCTGTAAAAAAAGTAATTGGCCTCTTCTCAAATGTTTACTTTTTTAAGGTCTCCCCACTTGAATGTTTAAGATCACCAAACAAATGAAAATACCTGACAAAGACGACCCAAATGAACATAATATGCGGTTTTTAAATGATGATTGTGTGAAACGATGCAAAAAATTTTTTTTTCAATGAGAATGCAAATACTTTTTCACGGTACTGCAACTCTTTTTAAAAAATGGTCAAATTAATGTGATGAAAAAATTCTTAGACTTGAAGTATAAAGTTGTACTTTCCAAAGTCAACTTCATCAGGCATGATGAGGTTGTCTTCCCTCGCTTTGGCCAATTTGCGACACAGGAAATCTCGTCTCTCGATCCACTCCTGCAACTCCTCAGGACTGTGGGCAAATTCACAACTGGCACCATCGGGGCAGTCCGCTTCGGACCTAACACACAATCGAAACATACCACGTGAATTTGAAATTCATTCAGAATAGAGCACCAAGAAAACAGACCCCTGCGTAGGCTCGTCTCCGTTGTCGTCATCAAGAATCCAAATGATCTAACAGGGATGTCATACTCATTGGTGTCAAGGGCCATATGGTTTCCCTCAGAGGGGCGGTATGCCGATAAAACCATACAAAAGTGTCATCGCCTCATCATATTTTTACATGTCAATAGCCTAATAGAGTATTTGCCCCAATTTTTGAAAAAGGAGAAAAAAAAGAAACATTTTTATCAAGTGTCAAATTAATGGATAACTTGTTTTGAAATCAGAATTCAAGGAAAATTTGGTTACCTAACCAAAATAAAAAATAAAAAATAAAAAAAACTATTAAGGAACACAATTGCCTTACTAGCTGGACACTCCAACAGCTGCCGATAACATTGAGGACTATAAAACCATCATACTAATTGTGCTTTCTGTGGAGCTAGGTTGGCCAGGCGAAGTGAAAGTGAGGTCTTACTTGGCGCAGAGCTCGAAGGAGACGCCGGGGAAGCGGTGAGTCCACTTCAAAGCCTCGTCCTCTCCTTCACAACTGAACAGGCGGTCCTTGTGCTTAGTGGTGGAGATGTGTCGCTGCCACTGCCGCTCGCTGTTGCTGTGCTTCCCACACAGAGGGCAGTTGAAGCCAGACTGAATTAGGAGAGAGCAAATGCAGCAGTCATCGCCTTGCTTGCCGATGGCACTTCAGCAACAACATGAGATCGCAAGTCACTATAAATGGACACCTCATTAAAGGGGAAATTATACAAAATGGATCTTTTCATTATTTGTGCACAAATAGTCCCTCGGGGTGCTTGCACTAACATAAAGTGACAAACTAAACAACTGTACTCCTGTGGCCAGCGAGTTTTTACTCTCACATTTTGCTACTCAGGGTAATATTAATTACCCACCGTCGGTTCGGCATTGTCTGTTGGCATGACAATGTCTTTTTCCTGGGTGGACACGGCTTTGTCTGCTTGGCGACTATGTGTGCTTAGTGCCAACCACATGTTGTATATCTGCTGCATTTCAACGACTGCGGGGACAGACAAAAAAAAAAAAACAGATCATTCATCATTAAGGACACTGTTCAAATGCATGTAGTGGCAGATATGCTGACACTAGGGCAGGAGTATCCAATTCTTTATCTTCCATAGGTTGCATGCAGAAAAAAATCAAAGGATGCTTCCATACAGTAAACTACAATAGTCCATCAAACACGCTTTGTTTAAGTGGTGTGTATTGAGTTGCGCCCTGGTTTGTTTCAATCACTTGCCGTTTTGAGTCTTCATATACATCCACATGTCCTTTTCCTCTGTGCTGTGGGCAAAGGAGCAGTTCCCAATGAAATCACATTTCTTCTTGTTCAACATCCAGCCGCACAACTGCCAGAAGGAAACGTACATGCTAATAAAAGCACTAAACCAAATCAGAACAGCCCAAAGTGTCATGTGGAGCGGCGACATGACACAAGAGGAAGGAAATTTACTTCAAAATAAATTGCTAAGCACTCAATTGAAAATGAAGACTCACTTCATATTGCGCAGGGAAGTTTTTTGTATGTGGAAGGGGTCTGACAGGAACCCAATTATTCTTGTCCAAGGACTTCACCAACAGCGTGTTTTGCTCTTTGGTCCACCTGAAAGTGTTCATTAGTGTTTGTGGTGAAAAGAGAGAGAGAGTGTGAAGACCCAAGTCGCAAAAGTACAGCTTGCCACTGGATTTCAAGTCGTCAGTTCGACTCTTTGCAGCTTCCTGCTTCTTGTACTTACGGGTGCTTGGCCTTGGCAGAGCAATACTGGAGGGTTTTGTTCGGCATACTTATGAGGCCGTCTTGTAAGCAGACAGCGCAGACAAACTTCATCTTCATGTTCAAACTCTTGCCTTTTGGTGTTTCCTCACCATTTGCGGCAGCAGGTACCTGCATAAAAAGAAAGGAGGTTAACATCTTTTGTAGCCAGCTTTTGTATGACATGCACATCTAATCGGTGATGGGGGAATAAAGTGATGTGGGGGGGAATCTGTCTTACTCCACTACATCGCAATTTCCTTTCCGTCCCTGTGTTCTGCTCCTGTCCCGCGTGATATTTTTTTGAGACTTTAACAATCTCATCAGCTGTGATTCCTAGAAGCAGGAACATTCCAAAAAGACAAATTCACCAATTGAAAGAAATTAAAATTACAACTTTATCTTTTTGCCCAATGAAGACATGCATTGTAGAAACCTGTAGAGTAAACAAGGATAGAATATTTATTTTCTGATAGACAGCACCTGTGTAATGCTGTACCCTCCAGGTTTGTAGCTCAATGAATGAGTGAGCATTAGCGCATCTGTACTCCCCAGGGCATCCGTCGCGAATCTTTTGGCTGCACAATTTTAAGTGGGCCAGTATGTTAAATGGACGCACTTTTCTGTAGTTGCAGTTTGTGGCCGTCTCTTCAAATGCTAAACACCTGACAAGCACAAAGTAGATGTCATTGAATTATGCAATGATAGAAGGGACTATAGTGAGTGAACATGAAAGTGACTGATGCGTTCCACTCACTTGTTAGCATCAAAGGAGTGGCGGGCGAATGTGTTAGAGCACACAGTGTGATCGTCTCGGCAGCGCTCACTGATAATCCGTGGCCAACCATTATAGCATTCCTGATGAGAGGAAAACAGATCCGGATACAAACACAGAAAAGGTTACCATATACAATTCGTTCTCCATCATGCAGTGACCTAACAGTGTCCCGACCTGACACAGGAATAAGAACGTGCCCTTGTGTTCCTGTAGAAGGCGTCTAATGCTGTTCACTGGGTTGCCAGTGGCAACACCTAGTGGTCCAAACAGCATATTTCTGTCCAAGGTCCCTTTCCTCTCCTCTGTCCAAACGTCGATTTCCAGTTGGTTAAAGGCAAAGTGGCACGTTTCCCCAAACCTACAGAGGCCCAAATCGGCAGGGTTTTGCACGTCTATGTACCAAACATAAAAAAAAAAAAAAATTGACCAGGTAAGCAGATGAATAATAAGAACCTAGAATCACTTCACATCAGAACATTCATGAACTGTAGGTGGGTGTTCCCTTCTAATATCCAGCGCAATTCACAGAAATGAGCTTTAAAAAAAAAAAATCATGACTGGATTCCAGCCAGTCATTGCCAGAGGCCACATATAGACTGTTGACAGTCACACTTATGGGCAATTTAGTGTTTTCAATTAAATTACCATGTGAAGCTCTAAAATGTGGGAAACAACCCAAAGAAAAGCCTTTGCAAGCATGGGGAAGGATACAATCTCCACACGGGAAGGCCAATCAAAACTCAAATGTTGTTGTTTGTTTTATATGAAGTTATAAGGGAACGTGACAAAATGTATCATTGAGGATTGATCATAATCACGTTTGCAAAGGAGAAAAGGCCCCGTGATGGCTGTCCATGTCGGCGGGGGTCGCACTTTGGTCCACTCGGAGGGAAAAACTCCTTTTCGTCTGCACAAGAGAATATCTCGCTCACAGCTGTGGTGCAGGTCAGGTTTGTGAATGAAGGTGTATGTCGCTCGATCTGAAAACAAACAAATAGGAGTGTGCAGTGACGCTGACAAGATTTTGAAAGATTCATCGCAGTGAAAAATACAATGAACATTTTACACCAAACTACAATGTAGAGTTGGACAAATGGGCATTGTCCAGACTCACGCACCTTCGCGAGCAAAGCAACTAGAACAAGCTTGCATGAAGTCGTGGGTGGCAGACAGAGTGTTTGGCACCGGAGTTTGTGTTGCTAAAGGGCAGAGAGAGAACATGAATGACGTGTTATATTTTTACATGTCTTGAAATTGAAACCAAAAGCACAAATAAACGATAACATCTGCACCCTTATTCCAAAGCCCGACAAAATGAATTGTAAATTTTGCAACAATTTATTAAGTGTAACTCGCGCTCATTCCTTGGTGGACATAAAATTGTGTCGTTTAGACCAAGGTACTGTATCAAACGACTTAACGCAGCATAAGTGTGCCTTTTAGCCAATAACGCATCAATTTATGAATGAGCTGTAATCACCGGCGGAGCTGAAATCACTGCGCAAGTCCAAGCCTGTTCCCTTCTGTGCGAGTGTGGGCGGAGAATGCCCTTGACCTTTCACTGCAGGAAACGAGTCCAAAGAATCCAGGGAGTGCTGCTGAGTCACACTCAACACGGAACCGAGTTGAGCAGACGGATCACAGGTGAGCCGGAAATCAGAAAATGGCTTCTCAAGTTGTTCTGTTTTGGGCTGAGCGGCTTCTCGCGATACAGCGCGAGGAGCCGCCACCAAGAGATCATCCAGGGAATCTAGTACTGGTGTCTTCAGACTTGCACCAGCTACGCCTCCCGGGAGGTTGTCTAAGGAATGCAGTCCGTGTGGAGATGACAGGTCATCGAGGGTATCTAGTGAGTTTTGACCGCCAAGTGAAAGGGAGCTCGTGGAGTTTATTCCACTCATGGAAGAGCTCAAGAAGGCTGGCGGGAGATGAGGCGTTGGAACAGTCAACGGAAAAGTGCTTTCCATGCTGGGAAGTGAGGCTGCTTTCTGAACGTGAACCTAGAACACAAACAAAAAGAAATGCTCAAAAATACTGTTTACAAATATCAAATGTAATTTTTTACATTTTATCTTCGCAAAGGTATCTTTCGCTTCGCGGAAAAATGGCTTCTCACAATCCCAACAATTCGTCTTTACCTCAGCAGCGAAATGTTCATTAGGAACGCAGTCGAGCAGATTGTCCAGGTCGTCTCCTATCAGCTCGCAGTCCTCTAAAGGGTCCGGGCTGTCCAGGACGGAGACGGCAGACTGTTTTCCGTCATTTGCTTTGTCGGGGAGGACACATTGAGGCACGCTGGGAAAATTGACTGGGGAGACACATGCAAAAAAAAAATGTGTTCACTTTCTCAAACGCGTTTGTGAAAACAGGCATATATGGTGGCTGCAATGTTGATGAGATTTACCTGGTGCAATTTTACTCAAAGGGTTTGTAACATTTCCTACATGGTAAGACACCTAGACATAAGAAACAGACATATTGAAATGGTATCAAGTACGTCTTTACTTGAGTGAAAGGCATCTGCGGGTATCCAAGAGAGTTGGTGCATCATGGAATTTTTTTGTCTTGTCTCTGAGGTCAAGATAAAAAGATTGTATTCACTACTTCGCTTACGTAGGGCTTTCGTTTTTTCAATCCCAGATGATTGGCAAGTTCCTCCGCGAGTTCATTCACCTGTTTGTCCTGTAAAGAGATTACGTACACAATGTAGAACGGTAGCTTTAGTGACTGCTATGACTGTGTATTGTCCGAGCAAAGTTACTGCTAATCCGCTGTTCTTTAAATTCCCTTTTTGGCCACTTTTCAACTTTACCTGATGTGCGATGAGCAGACAGTCGCGTGTGCAGTCATAAGCCTCCTTGTACTTGCCAAGCTGCTTCAAGCAAAGGGCCTTCAAGTAGAGCACCTTGTGGCTTTTTTTACACATCTCCAGAGCTTTGTCACAGTCCTTCATGCAATTATCGTATTCCTTCTGTAGAACACACGAGGCAAAATAGAAATAGATTAAGAGCAGTATTGTAGATTATAGCAAGGTTTTAGCATATTCATATCCATCCATCCATTTTCTAATCCGGTTATCCTCACGAGGGTCGCAGGCGTGCCGGAGTCTATCCCAGCCGTCTTCGGGCAGTAGGCGGGGTACACCCTGAACTGGTCGCCAGCCAGTCGTAGACGAACAACCGTTCGCGCTCACACTCACACCTAGGGACAATCTCGAGTGTTCAATTAACCTGCCATGCATGTTTTTAGAATGTGGGAGGAAACTGGAGTACCCGGAGAAAACCCACGCAGGCACGGGGGAGAACATGCAGACTCCACACAGGAAGGCTGGAACCGGAATTGAACTTAGCACCTCTGCGGTGATTAGGTCAACTAATTAAAAATATCCTGTATGGCAGCGTACAGGGTATGTAATTATTTTGATATTTAATCCGCTTGAACCTTTTTTCAGGGAATCAAATGCCATTCATGTTTGCACTATTAAATTCATATTTGCACTATTAATGTTCATATGCACGGTCTAATAGATTGAAGGAAGAAAATTAATCTGGAGCGGTGTGTTGCTTTAACGTCACATAATACGACTGATAGATTTCAATCGGAGAAAGCAGACTCACCATGCTATGGTAGGCAGTCGCCCGATTGACATACAGACTCTCCAATAAATCCTGAGGAATGTGGAATCCCTCTCCTGAGACATAGTGAGAAACATTCAAGCCTTCGCTGAACTCGCCCACTGCCTGCTCCCAGTGGCCATCTCTGAACCAGCTGTTGCCCTCTTCGAGAAGAGAGATTACCAACTTAATCAAAAAGTCCTGTGGAGCAAAACAGAGATATGGTGACGTGTTGATAAAGTAGCACAAACTTTGTGCTCCAGTACCAATAAAATTGATACAAAAAGTACAGGCCAACTGAGGATATTTGTAAACAACAGGCATCAGGTTACTTTACGAGAACACGAGAGACTACCTTACACGTAGACTGAAACAATGCTGCAAAGTTGCAGACATAAAAGAAAAATGGTTAAATTAAGCCTTTTATCCTTTAAGTCTTAATGTTTCCAGTTTTCATTCAGGGAGCAGAGAGCAACTGTACCTTGTAGCCTTCACGATCCGGATACGCCAGTGAAGACCTGAAAGCCATGTAGAAAGTTTTGAAATTATACGCAGTTGTAAGAGGTTAAAGTAGTCGTGATTCTCTTTGACTCCTTTTGTACAGCTATACAGCAATAAGAAAATAAATATATCTAAAATGAACTCTGACAGCTCGGGTTTATTCATCGACAAAGATGAAAACAATGGCCATTTTTTTCTATATTTATAGTTAAGTTTAGTTTGTTTTATAAACGTAAGGTGAAGTTTCAGTTTGTTTTTGATTTTTTTCTTCAGCCTTTTCGTTTTTATTTTATTCCGTTAACAAAAATGTCTTTTCAACTTTAGTTTCAGTTTTCCCGTAAGTTTTCATTTACTGGATACTGCACACATTAGACTCAAAACAAACACAACTAGAATGCATGTACTTATGTTTTAATGCGTTTTATTCGTTGATTTTTCTATGTCAATATTCCAAATAAAGATGTACAACATTTAAAAAGCTGATTAAAATCTTACTGTATGAAATTCAGAGAAGCTTGTATTTCTTTCCTGCGTTTCTTTCTCTGCGAGTCCATTCTTCCTCCCTGGGAGAATGAAAACAAAGCATTAGAAAGTTAAGGCTAAAATGCTGTTGGCGTCCTGTGGGGCTTTAAACATAAGTAGGAAGCAGTAATGCACGCTATCAGTGTTGGACGGGACATTGACCATTTGGGGCAGTTTGACAATGAAACACTGCGTCACTGTCGAGCACAACTTGAAACCCACTTACCTTCCTTTAAATTGGGAAGTTCATTGATCCGCAGCCAAAATGGTGTGATGAGCGAGCAGGACGAGACAGGAAGACTTCCAGCGGCGAGTGTCTTACCTCGGGGGACAATAAACCACGAAGGCCGCGAGCAAATATGATAACACAGACTGTTACATTGGTTTCGATTCCTTGAAACTCCACATCACATGACTTCGGTCAACTTCTTAGCAAGGTAAATCGCGATTGGCTGTCGTAGAAATCGCTAGAAGCCGTCAAATGACTCAATCTGATTACCTCTGCAGTGGTCGTCACTCAGTAAATATTACAGATTTTTCAGATAAATTAGGGAGGTTTGGGTCTGCACATTGCATGTCCGTCCTAAGAATAATTGGTTTTGGGGAGCCTTACAGTGGCATTTGAACACGCCTTTGTAGGCTAATGAACTACAATTCCCTTGACCAGCAACTCTTGAGTCGTCAAGTAGTGTTTTGTGCTGTGCTGAACTGTAGTTTGAACGTCGGAAACGAGCGGGAGCGTGAACGCGACGGCATTCATTGAAGACTGCGTCGGTCGGGTAATTTTGCGATTTATTTCGTTGGTATAAGAACAAACTTAGTTTCATATTTGACTTTTCTAAGTTCGCTGTGGACCTTAACTGTAGCTGGTCGGTCCTGTGCTGTTCACTGACCAGAGAGGCCGAACCACGTTGCGTTTTAATACAGTACAACTGGCAAGATTAACTTGGTCGTTCCGTATCGTCCACGACACACAAACGTGTAGGTTTTTAAATATTTAGACAAATGATTAGTTACTGAGAATTTTTACTGACTGCCGCGGTTCAATAGCTACTGTATATCCTCCTGACTAGGTTTGAAAGTTCTCTATCCATCAAGTTAGCATCAGATGGCTAATGCTAGCCAGAGATCGCCTGTTGTAAAGTCCTGTACTTTATGATAGACTTTACACAGATCTGATTTGGAAGACCGTATCGGTAGATATTTTGTATTTTAATACAAAATTGCTGATTAATTGTAATTATGACAACTTACCGATCGATCAATTACGTCATTGACCGAATCTGTGCAAAGTAAGACATTACAGCAAACACAATCTCCCTCACTCAGGGACCTTCTGTGCTGTCATTGTTTATAATGCAAGGTTTCGCAGCCAATACGGTCTGCCCCCCCCCCGCCCCCCACATATTTTAAAATATTTCTGAGGGGATGTCGCCCCCCCGCCCCCCAACTCCATTTGCCAGCTGTTGAATGTTTATCAGCATTTTTTGGCTAGAATTTTTTGAGTTTCATTGTCATTGGGTGGTTGGCTCCAAAATCCTGATCATGTAAAGCCTACATAACGGTAATGTCACTTAGGTTCTATTGGTAAAGCTGTCCCACCTGATTCGTGTACTTGCCTAGGTGCATCAGTTCTTCTCAAAACAAACGAGACAGCAAATGCCAGAACTGTCATGCTCTTTTTGGTTGCACAAAGCCCATTCTCAATAGCTATCATTACATCGGCACACATTCAGAGAGACAACTGTTGCGAGTACTTATAGAAAAGGGGTCAGCAATCTGGCCCCCAACACATTGTAATTGTAAATGGACCAGAAAGAAGCTCATGTTTTGGTTGCAATTATGTGCTTTAACGCCACCATTGTAAGGCCATGTTGTAAATTGCCTGTAAATGTCATCTTCTGAACATATTTTCATTTACGCGAACAATGAGTGACACTAAGTGAGTGAAGAAGCGGTAGTTGGGGTAAGACATCCCATGGCTGCTTCACCATGACAACAAATCTGCTCACAACGCCTGAGCATCTGACAGTTCTTGGAAGAGAAAAACATCGCCGTGCTAGAGTAACCTCCCTACTCACCCAACCTGGGTCCATGTGATTTTTTTCCCCCTCTTTCTCAACCTCAAGGAGTATGTGCATGTGAAAGTAATATTTTGTGCAGAGATAATTTTATGCCACAAATATCACAAAGACAACACGCAGCACGGTGTCACCGGTTAAAATTAAAAAGCAGAGAATCATGCAGTCTGCAGTCAGACGATGTTTATTATTTCTTGGTCACCCGTTATAGGATATGATGCACTTAAGTCGATTACAAGGAATAAAAATCTTTCTGACAGTTTTATGAACTGACCTAAGAAAAAAAGAAAATCATGACTGTTTTATCCCCAGGTAACGTCATGGCGACAGACCTTGTTTCACAGTTGGCCGACTCCTTGGCCAAAGCTAAAGTTGAAGAAGCAGAGCTGAGTTACAAAGGACAATGTAGAAAGCTCGATGATTCTAAATCAGGTGAGATGGTGACGTTTCCTTTCTTTCAGCCAAAAAATGGATAGAAACACCTTTTAGTCTTGTATGTTTTTAAAAATATTTTGTTTTGCTTTTTTTTGTCTGTCCTAACCGTTTTCCACATTCAAGTTGAAGAGATTGTGAAGGAGATCGAGAACTTTGAAGGCCTCCAAGCTCTGCGATTGGAGGGCAACACAGTAGGTGTTGAGGCTGCAAAAGCCATCGCCAAGGCCCTCGAGACAAAGAGCCAGTTCAAGGTTTCAGGCGTATACTTTCTATATATTTCTCTAAACTTTAATTTGCATCTTTAAGACATTTGGTTTTGTTGTACACTACACTGAAGGTGATTCGAGATTTCTAAGAGCAAATAGCAAGAAATAAATAGTTTGTTTCTTTCAGCGCTGTTACTGGAGTGACATGTTTACTGGCCGCCTCCGCTCTGAGATCCCGCCTGCTTTGGTAACGGCGTCGTCCTCCCTGGTTGTTCTGGACGACTACAAGTTCCCAATATTTTTCTCTCTTTCTGTCGAAGAATTCACTGGGTGATGCTCTAACGCTGGCAGGTGCCAAGCTGACGGTTTTAGATCTGAGTGACAACGCCTTCGGTCCAGATGGGGTGAAGGGCATTGAGCGGTTGCTCAAAAGCTCCTCCTGCTACACTCTGCAGGAACTACGACTCAACAACTGCGGCATGGGCATCGGAGGAGGGAAGGTAAAGCATGTGAAAATTGTCCTTGATTGATACTTATTTTATATAAACACAATTTCCTATAGGATCGTTCTGTTCTGCACTTTTCAGATCTTGGCCGCTTCACTGATCGAGTGCCATAAAAAGTCAAGCGCCGAAGGTCCTCCCCTAAGCCTGAAAGTGTTTGTCGCCGGGAGGAATCGTCTGGAGAATGACGGAGCCACAGCCCTCGCTCAAGCTTTCCAGGTAGAGAGGTTAAACAGACAATTGGATTTTCAATAGATAGAGAAGCCAGAACAGCTGGCCTCCAAATCATTTTGTTTTGTTTTTTTTTGGGGGGGAGGCACGCTTTCCTTTTAGTGACAAAAAAAAAAAAAATTGCTCCTTTTTGTTCTTTCCTCTTGTATAAGTGGAACTCAGAACTCATTCTTGTGTTTGTAGTTAATGGGCAGCCTGGAGGAGATCCACATGCCCCAGAATGGCATCAACCACCCAGGCGTCAAAGCCCTGGCGACCGCTGTACAGCACAATCCAAACCTGCGCACCCTCAATCTCAATGACAACACCTTCACTGAGAAGGGCGCTGTTGCCATGGCTCAGGTATGATTCCAAAAGTAGAATAAGTAAATAATAACGATATTATTCTGAAAAAAAAGGGCATCACCAACCGATCAGTCTGACACGATAGGGTTGACTAAAATTTTTCTTGCTGTGCTCACACTTGCTGTCATTCGCAGGCCCTGAAACATTTACGAAGCATCCAGGTGATAAACTTTGGCGACTGTTTGGTGCGGCCAGTTGGAGCCACAGCCATTGCTGAAACTGTTTCGGAAGGACTGCCAATTTTGAAGGTGAGTGCTCATTTGCCTGTCATCAGCTACAATCTGTGAGACTGGCATGATCAAAATCAACTCTCGAAAACAGAAATGCAAATATATTGTTGTCTGGATCAAGTTTTCCAGTTTTATTCCATATACACCGGGTTTTGTTCAGTTTTCAGCTAAATGGCAATCACGGGTGTCCAAATAAGGGCATCATCAATGATCATTGACATGTATATATTTTGTGAGACTATTTTACTCCACTGTGGTTATTGGAGAGTCCTTTCTCTCCCCCTTGACGTGTGTTTTCTCTCTGGCCAAAATCAGGAACTTAATTTGTCATTTGGAGAGATAACTGAAGAAGCTGCACTGGCAGTGGCCCGTGCAGTCAAGAACAAGAATCAGCTGGAAAAACTGGATTTAAATGGTGAAGAACGGCAAGATTTCTAATTCCTTCATCACTTACCCATTATGGAGTCAATAAAACTAAACATGCACTAGCCGAGCCCACATTGGGATTACCGGTAAATAAATGAGCGTAAATCGAATTTTAAAACAAACGTCAAAAGACATTGAGTAAAAACAGCACTTGGACAACATCCAAAAATAGAAGACAATACATTAACAGTCAGTGGCAGGATGACGATGACTATAACAATGACTATAATATTGCATGTTTTTGCAGGTAACTATCTTGGAGAGGACGGCTGCAAAGCTCTGAAAGATTTCATGGAAGACATCAGCATGGGCGAGCTTCTGGCATCGCTCAGGTAGCGGCGGCATCTCTTCACTTTTGAGGCAACATCCAGTACATTTGCGCTTTTGGATGGTCGTAACGCAAGGCGGTCGATGATCCAAATCTTTGTTTTTCCTTTAGTGATGATGAGGGTGAACCAGGAGATGATGAAGATGACGACGACGACGATGAAGACGACGATGATGATGATGAGGAGGATGATGACGAGGAGGTAGATGAAGAGGAAGTTGAGGAGGAGGAGGAGGAAGAAGAAGAAGATGATGATGACGATGAGGAAGAAGAAGAGGAGCAAGATTTCAAGACTGGCAGCAAGGTAATCCTCCTCATAAAGACTTTAATCATTCAGATGCCTTTTTCAATTGTTTTTCGTTTCATGAAATATTTGCCCAACTTTTTTTTTTGTTTTGTTTTTTTCCCCTTCCAAATCTTCACAAGACGTGTTGCTTTAACTGAGCTCTCTCCCTTTGCACTTGTAGTTTTCCACACCGCCGTCAGCGCCGCGACCACCCGATGTCTCATCCTTTCTCAGCTTTCCATCGCCGGACAAACTGCTCAAGCTGGGGGCCAAAAGAGCAACACTGATTGAGCAGCAGGTACGGGACTGGATAATCTCATGGTCTTAATAAATGTTGAAGGTATAAAAGACAGCAGTACTTTAATTGCAAACCGTTTACCTTGGAATTTTTTTGACTTTATTCATGGATCCTAATTCCTCTATTAAACAAATCACTTCTTGGTTACACGTATGACCTCTCCTCAACCACGTGGGATACATTAAAATCATCTTCGACCTTACATTTTTCACACACTTTACAAATAATTCAAGACAGCCGTACAATAGGAACGACTTGCATGGGGATAAAGCCGATTTCTTCTTCCTCCCTTTGTTGCCAGGTGGATGTGTCCGATGCAAAGAAAACAGCTGAAGCCTTTCTTAAAATTGCATCTGTGTACAAAGAGGACAATCATGACGTGAAGAATGCAGTTTTGGAAAGTGTTGGTGAGTTTTTTGTGAATTACTTCCTGTTACCTTTCAGTCACCTTTTTGTTATTATGCATTGCATGTTTCGTAGGGCTGGGCAGCGTGGCTGAAAAATGTTTAAGTATTTCTTATCAGTCTCAAAATGTCTTCTATGGGCTTGTATTTTTTAAATTCATTAATTTATTTGTGTCGCTCAGACATTGAAGGTGTGAGCCATTCCAGTACACCGGTTATTTTGTAATTTTACAATCCTGTTTCCGTATCAAATTCCACATTTGCGTAGTTCCTTTCTTCCTTTCCAGTTTATGCAACAGGCATGCAAGACAAAATGCTCGATTGGACTTGCCTCATATACTTAAAAGAGAATGCCACTGAGCTTTTAATGATCTTTTTTTTTTTTCCCCTCCCCCTTGCAGATGCCCTTCTTCGGAAAGCCTTTTCTTCATCCGTCCAAGGCTATGATTTTGTGTCCTCTTTGCTAGTCCTGCTGGGTCTTATTAAGGTGAGCAGAAAGTGACTCCCTTTACCTCTCTGTACTTAGCCTTTTTTTTTTCTCCATACTCTTTTCTTTTCTCTCCAACCATGTTGTCATCTCAAGAGTGAGGATAAGTTGAAGCCCGTGTCGGTTGTAGCCGGTCACCTGCAGGCCTTGGAGCACGCCGTTCGACAGGACTACTTCCCCAAAGAGAGCGTGGCCGTGCTGGAGGCCTTCATGTCCCGGTAAGGGCGTGACAGAATGAGCCAAACAGCGGGCAGCTTCCAGGTATAAAACATCGCACGATACTTGCTTTTTTTTTTTCTTTTTCTTTTTTTTTTTTTTTTTTTTTTTTTTTTTTTGGGGGCGCACAACCGCCCCCCCCCCCC